CCCCCCCCCCCAAAAAAAAAAAACCCAGAAAAACACCATAGTCAGATGTGACTGTCAGAGAATGAAATGTCTAGGGTTAATTTTGACACCCGAGATCCTTGCGAGTCGTGGAAATGAGGCTCCTGGTCATCAGTTAAAAGCACAGAGATCCAGAATTGCTGGTGCCAGAGGATGCCCCTGGGAGGGTCAGTGCCCTGCTGGTGCCCCGCAGGATGTGGTCACAGCCGTCAGAGCTGGTCGGGCTTCTGGACCATGTAGGGCAGTCACAGCCGGGATCCTGCATCGTAGGGGAGGCCAGACCAGGCGACCTCGGGACACCCAGCCCAGTTCTCCGAGCCCAGCATCCTGGCTCTCCCAGAAGCCTCACATTCATTTTGCACATTTGGGAAGAGAGCCCCTGTTCCAAGGTGGCTGTTGTTTCTTATATTTTCAGTTTCTCCAAGTTTGGAATTAGGTAGTGCATAGCCTAACCTGCTGTAAGAAGAGACGCCTCAGTTACCGTGACTTGAGCCACAGAGAAGCTTACTTTCGTTTCCAGGCGGAGGTGTGTGGTCCAGGACTAGTCCTGCTAGTGGCCACGGGATGGTTCCAGCTCTCGCAAATTCTTTCTTCCTGGAAACAGAAAGAAGGAAAAGGTCAAGGTGGCCACGGGAAATCATTCTGGGGACAAGATCAGAAAATGGCACACCCGGCCTGTGTGCGGAGCTCCGTGGTCCCACAGCCACCCCTCCCAGGAAGTCCCTCTAGTCTGTGGCAGGGCAGCCTTGCGCCAGCGCAGCTTGAGGTCTGCAGGCAGTAGAGGTCTGCAGGCAGTAGGCCAGGGTACCTAGAGGGAGGGTCAGGGTGCCTAGGGAGGGCCAGGTGTCTAGAGGGAGGGCCAGGGTGCCTAGGGAGGCCAGGGTGCCTAGGGAGGGCCAGGGTGCCTAGGGAGGGCCAGGGTGCCTAGGGAGAGCCAGGGTGCCTAGGGAGGCCAGGTACCTAGAGAGGCCAGGGTGCCTAGGGATGGCCAGATGCCTAGGGAGGACAGGCGCCAGTGCAGCTCCATTCCTGCCCTGACATTATTCCGAATAACTCTGATTCAGTGAGTGCAGGTGAGGGCCGGTTCAGGCAGGGGTGGGCTGTGGGCCTGGCCCCAGTCCCTCCGGCGTTTGTGTCTGATCGGGAGGCAGAAATACAAACGGGCTCTAGCAGAGGTTTAATTCTGCCCCCTAACAGTGCGACACAGCTGACATGTGCCAGCGTCCGTGGGAGTGGCCTTCCTGTCTGCGTGCTCGTCCTCGCTCTCCTTAAAAATCACCCATGTCGGGACCAGCAGTTGGCATAACGGCTATGTCGCTGGACTATGTAGTCGACCATGGTTCAAGTCCTGGACCTGGCGGCTTAAACTCATGCCGGGTGCGTGTACGTGCGTGCCCAAGATCCCGAGAGGAGAATGGAGAAGAAGGGATTGCGGTGTGGCTATCCCTGGGGGGGTGATTTCTCGATTTGTGTCTCTGTGGCAAGCGCACGTACCCTATAACAAAAATCTCTCCAAAACAGAAAACTACTCATGTCTTGTCTTCCCCAGTCATTTTTGACCTCTTTTTCTGTTGGCATTTCCAGGTATACGAAAAGCACTACCTCCAGCTCCAGAAACCAAGAAGGTAGGTGGCCGTTCACTGCCGGACGCCAAGTCTCTAAGTTTTGGGAGCCATTGCGGTTTGCTGAGCTGCTTCCCTTCATCCACGTGCCCGTGTGCTCCCCAGAGCCATCTCGGAAGCAGACGCGCCATGGCTTATTTGCATTTTTCTTGCCGTCCAATAATACGAAGTTAATCGTGCCAGCTTTCATCGTCGGGAGTTCTGTTATCTGGCACCTGCCTGTATGCTGGCTTAGAGACAGATGAAAATGTGGGCACGTAGAGGGGTGTCTCAGTTTAGACCACAGTACGATACAGTGGTGGCTTCAGTAGTTTAATGATGCATCTCTGAGGAGTGGGTTTTGGTGGAAAAAAACACGTGTGTGGAACCCGGTCAGGTCCTGATCCCAGGCCACTCCACGTGAGACTGGGCGAGTCCCTCTGGTGTAAAGTGAGAGTCCCTAAGCCTTACGTCTTGGAAGCAGGGCTGAGATTGGGTGAAGAAAAGCGTCCTGCACCCTCCCGTGGTCCTCCCGCATTACAGGTGTGCAAAAGCACGCCCTGTGGGCAGGAGCAGACCTCCGGAAGGCTCCGCAGGGCACTTACCCGTGACCGCTATTCGAGCGGTGGTCTGTGTTGAGTCGTCCCAGCTTCTGCTCTCACGCCACCCCTGCCTCTTTCTGGAAAATTCTCCAGCCCTGAGCAAAAGCCTTTTCACCTTTAAAGGTAGATTTTGCTCGTCTCTTGCATTCCTCCCACGAGAGGCCCAGTCACTGGCGGGCTCACCGCGTTATCGTAGGCTGCGGGTTGGACGTAGGGACCCGCTCGGTGGGGTGTGTGACTCTGGCCTTGCACTTGGTGCCGGTTCTGGCGAAAACTAAAACTCTCCAGTTACCTTCTTGCTTAGAGGAGGCCTCCGCCGCCGATTCCGCCTGAAGAAGACAGCGGCGAGGAGATCGTCGTGGCCATGTATGATTTCCAGGCCACGGAGGCGCACGACCTCAGGCTGGAGAGGGGCCAGGAGTACGTCATCGTGGAGAAGAACGACGTGCACTGGTGGAGGGCCCGGGACAGATACGGGTGAGCGGCCCCTCCTGCCAGACGCGGGGTGGGCACGAGAAGGCGTCCAGTGAGGAGAGGACACGTCGCTGTCACTCGTGGACATCTTGGTGGGCCCCAGATGGTTCTCAGCAGTGGTGCGTGTCCAAGCGCTCGCTGGCACTGTGGTATCGCCTTCTGGACATTTGTTTGTTTGTTGTTGTTATATTTAAAACATTTTTTGCTATCAGGTGTGTGCTCTCTTTACAGACAGAGGCAGAGAGGGAAGGTGAGAAACTCCCTGGGGGATGCCCGTGCTGTGATTCCTTCTCCTCCAGGCTCCTCTCGGGATTTTGGGCACACACAGACACCTGGCTTGTTTATCAGGCTGCTGGGCCAGACCCCAGCCCTACAGAACCCGGCTGCCTTAACCACCACGCCACCTCCTGGCCCCCTTCATGGGGAATCTTAACCTTTTATTCTGTTTTTACAAGCTTTCCACTGCTTCTGAGTGCCAGGCACTGCATACGACTTTTATTTTTCATTCTGCATGGTGGACATTCCCAAACATCTAGAGGCACATTATCAGGGAGCCTCTGTGACTTCTAGCATGTACCAGTCTTGTTTCCATGCAGCATGACCGCACGCCTTTGGGGGTGCTTTCCCCTTCTCTCTGTCTCTCTCTCCTTCTCTGGTAAGTGTGCATACTCTCTGACAAATTGAAAACCAAAAAGAGAAAACTTGTATGGATTTCAGAATATTTTGCACCAAAATAAACCCACACCATAATGTCTCTTCCCACAAAGTTTTGGGAGCCCCTTCATGTATCTGAGGATTTAGAAATTATAAATCAGGAGACCAGCAGCTGGTGTGGTGGTTACGGCACTGCATTCCCACGTGACCGACTGCTGTTTGAGCCCCAGACCTGGTGGCTTAAAAGTCCTGCTGAGTGCAGGTGTGTGCGTGCCCAAAACCGGGAGAGGAATGGAGGAGAAGGGACTGTGGCGTGACCATCGCCCCGGGGAGTGATTTCTCACTTTTCCTCTGTCTCCCTGGCAAGTGCACATGGCCTCTGGCAAAACCTAAGAAAATAAATAAAAGCAATCATAAATCCAGCTGACAGGCTGGTAAATAACACCTGACCACCTTCCCACTTGGCGCAGGTGCCTTCGTCATGAGGAGGAAGGCAAGGTTCCTGTTAGGGCTCCATGCTGGAATGTGGCGGCACATGGGAAGCCATCCCCTGGGGCTGGCTCCCACTCACACGCACTGGTGGCCCTTCCAGCCTGTCCCCCAGGGCTCTGTGCTGTGCTTGCAAAGGCCACTCCCGCCCCCTGCTGTGTGACCACCCTCGGGGCTCAGTGGGAGGGGTGCAGGGATCCAGGAAGCTCGATGATGACTTAGAGGATGGAGCCAGGGGTGAGCCTTTGCAGACCCAGGAGATGGGCAGGAATTCTGGGGTTCTGGTCATCCAGATTCTGACCTGGAGGGTGCTGAGGGAACAGGGGCTCTAACAGAAGTGGGGTCTCCCAGCAGGCGCCTTGTGGCCCCAGTCTAAGGGCACCCCCCTTAGGGTGCTCTCTAATTCATTTCCCCTCTTCTGCATGGACATGTGTTTTACATTAGGTTCAAATCAGGGTCTGGCCGAGACTTGCGCCTGCCTCTGGCTGCCATGCAATATCCCACCCTGGGTCGTTCTGGGTTTGTTAATGAGACCAATTATTACCCTATCAGATGAGTCCGAGTCCAAATTACTCTGCTTGGTTGCTTTCGGTGTCGGTTAGCGTATCTGGGTGTCTTGTGTTTCCTGTAACTGGCGGCTGGATCTAGAGGCCTGGCCGTCCCTCTTGGACTGAGGCTGAGATTTACTTAGGGTGCTGGTGTCAGGCCGAGCCCTCCATCAGGAAGGGCTTCATCAATCTCCCCTATGGACTCGGGCACCCATGAATGAGTATTAATCCTCTAAAGAATGACTTCACCAACCAGCACATTGAATTCATGCAGGAAAGGGAAGGTGAAATTTTGATTTGTAATTTCTACTGGTTTTTATGAAGAATTAGTGACTGAACTGCTGAGGATAACAGCGGTAACCCATTTCCCATTGCTGTTACTGTACTTGTATTCACGTGCTCCCTGACTCACCACAGGCTTACAAACCAACAGTGCCTGTCAACTGAAATACCGTAAGTGAAAATGGGTGTTGTGTAGACATCATGGGGAAGAAAAACAGGACACAACGTCCACACACTGGCAGCACCCCCCGCCCCCTTACAGGGCTGGCTGCGACCCCGCATGGCACGGCACGTGTGCTGACAGATACACTGAGCGTGTGGAGCCAGCTGGTCTTTCTTAGGAGGTTCAGGCAACTTGCTTTAAGTATCCTTCAAAGTCAATAATCTCCCTTGTCATAGCCTCTCTGTAAGTAATTTCAGTTTGCCTGAGTAATTTTCTTTTTCTTTTCTTTTTTCCCTAGGAGTGAAGGCTATATCCCAAGTAATTATGTAACAGGAAAGAAATCAAACAACTTAGATCAATATGAGTAAGTAGATGCTTACTTGGTGCCTGTGGGAAACCAGGCGGTGTGTTCATTTTCCCAGTACGTACAGCGTTCTGGAGATCGGAGCGTGTCCTGCTGCCTTCAGACGGTGACACCAGCATGTCCTTCACTCCGTTTTCAGTGGTGCCTGGGGGCACTGGGGGTGAACGGAGCTGCATGGTATGTACCTCTGAAGCCATTTTAAACAAGTCACCGCTTGGCTGCCTTTAACACACAGGTCATTGTCCTCTCCATTCAAGACCCAGAAATAACGTTTCTCAGAGCAGCTCTTAAAGGTCCATGTTTTTGGGCCAGCAAATGGTGTAGCAATTATGTCGCTGGACTCCTACATGGCTGACCGCAGTTCGAGTCCCAGACTCAGTGGCCTGAAAATCATGCCTGGCGCATGTGTGCGCATGCCCAAGATTCTGGGAGGAGAATAGCAGAGAAGGGATTTCGGCGTGGCCATCCCCCCTGGGGGGTGATGTCTCACTTTCCCTTTCACTGTCTCTCCTCTCTCTCTGGTGAGTGTATGCACCCTAAGGCAAAAATACCGCTTTAAAAAAAGTACAGGTTTTATTGATTCTTTAACTAAAATAACAATGTGTGATTATTGTTTAAAAGGCCTTGTGATATGGAACAGTTTTACTAACTTAAAAATTACTCACATGGCCAGCATATGGCATGGTGTTTAAGGGAGTTGGACTCCCACATGGTTGACCATGGTTTGAGTCTTTTTTTTTTTTTTTTTTTGGAGAGATTTTCGCTATAGGGCGCGTGCGCTCGCCAGACAGACAGAGAGAGACATAGAGACAGAAAGCGAGAAATCACCCCCTGGGGGGATGGTCACGCCGCAATCCCTTCTCCTCCATTCTCCTCTCGGGATCTTGGGCACGCACGCACACGCGCCCGGCGTGAGTTTTAAGCCACCGGGTCCGGTACGCGAACCGCGGTCGACTACGTGGGAATCCAGCGACATAGCCATTACGCTAACTGCTGGTTCCCCATGGTTCGAGTCTTGACTTGGCAGCTTGCTTTCTCACTTTTCCTCTCTCTCTCTCTCTCACTCTGTCCCTCTCTGGTCAAAATAAATAAATAAATAAAGTTAAATAAAAATAATTCTCTTAAAAAAATTCTCGTAAATCAGTCAGAGCTGACCTGTCAACATTGCAGATATTCTTTCAATCTTTTGACTATTTATAGAGAATCATGCCGTATATACTGTTTCACGTTTTTTCTCCTCACCTAACAATGTATTCTGATTTGGGACCAGTAGATGGCATAGTAGTTAAGTCACTAGACTCCCGTGGATGGCTGTGGTATGAATCCTGGGCCTGGTGGCTTAAACCTCACGCCCAGCTTGTGTGCATGTGTGCCCAAAATCCTGAGAGGAGAATGGAGGAGAAGGGATTGCGGCATGGTCAATCCCCCCGGACGGGGTGATTTTTCACTTTCTGTCTCTCTGTTTCTCCAGTCAGCCCACATGCCCTATAGCAAATTTTTTTTTTTCTTTGAGAGGTTTTTGCCGTAGGGTGCATGCGCTCGCCAGACAGACAGAGAGAGACAGAGAGACAGAAAGCGAGATATCACCTCCCGGGGGGATGGCCACGCCGCAATCCCTTCTCCTCCATTCTCCTCTTGGGATCTTGGGCACGCGTGCACATGTGCCTGGTGTGGGTTTTAAGCCACCGGGTCTCGAACACGAACTGCGGTTGACCACGTGGGAGGTCAGCAACATAGCCATTACACTAACTGCTGGTCCTGCAAAAATTTCTTAAAAAGAAAAAACGAAAACCTCAGTATATTCTGAGTATTTTCTCTTATGTTAAATATTCTTTGAAAATATTTTTAAAATAATTTTGTTTTTATTATTATTATTGTTTTAAATTTGACCTGGGGCGGGGAAATGAGAAAACAAGCCACCCAATCCGAGACTTGAACCACTGTCGGCCATGTGGGAGTCCATCACCTAACCACCATGTCCCCTGCTGGTCCTGAAAACATTTGCGCAGTATTTACTGAGTCCTAAGTTCATCAAGTATCTACTGAGATCTTAGCTTGTATCAGGCACCCCACTAGGCGTTAGGTGACCGCTTGGCTTGTGGGGACACACAGTAATTTCTGTGGTCAAGTTCTTGTTCGTGTGACATGAGGCTGTTTGGGTATCTCACTGTATAGAACCAGGGTTTGACACCTAAGGATGGCTGACAAGTTATGAGCACATCCCGGGCATTATTTCTAGCGTTTCCTCTGTCAGCGGTGTCCACCTCCACTAAGCCGCCTGTGTGGGGAGCTGGGGTGGACGCGGTGGCTGGCGTCCCTGGCAGTCTTCCTCTGGTCACATCACCCAGGACCCTGTCCATGTGACCTGCGTGTGTGCATGCCATCCAACTGCTTTCCGAGACGTTGCGCTGTCTACCTGCCCGCTGGCGGCGCCTGGCCAGAGTTTAGCGTCAGGGTCATGCACACCACACGCTCTTGTGTGCTCATTCTTAGGTTGTGTGTTGATGCTTCATTCATTTCCTTAAAAATAGCAACGAGCTGGGGTCAGCCCAAGGCCTGGTGGTTAAGTGAGCTGGATCCTGGATGTCCACCTGCACGGTTCAAGTCCTGGATCTGGCATGTGTGTGTGTGCCCAAAGTCCCAAAGAGAGCGAGAAATGGAGGAGAAGGGATTGTGGTGTGACCGTGTCCCACAGGGAGTGCTTTCGCCTCTTCCTCTTTCTCTGTCTCTCTGGCAAAAACAAAACAAAACAAAATAAAAACCGGGCTGTTTCAGCGGTCCATGTCATTTAGATAACATGAGGGAACTTAATATCTGGTAAAGGATTTAATAGTTTCAAAAAGTGGGGCAGGCACTGGTGCAGTGACGGTGGCTGGCCCCCGTGGAAAGGCCCTGAGTTTGTGTCCTGGGACCTCCTCAAGCACACGAGGTGCACCCACGTGTAGTGACCTGGGCCTGCAGATTGTGTCCTGAGACCTCCTCGTGCACACAAGGTGCACACACGTGTAGTGACCTGGGCCCGCAGTGTGTCCTGGGACCTCCCTGACCACACGAAGTGCGCCCACGTGTAGTGACCTGGGCCCACAGTGTGTCCTGGGACCTCCTCGTGTACACGAGGTGCACACACGTGTAGTGACCTGGGCCTGCAGTGTGTCCTGGGACCTCCCCGTCTACACGAGGTGCACACACGTGTAGTGACCTGGGCCCGCAGTGTGTCCTGGGACATCCTCGTGCACACGAGGTGCACACACGTGTAGTGACCTGGGCCCGCAGTGTGTCCTGGGACCTCCCCGAGCACACGAGGTGCACACACGTGTAGTGACCTGGGCCCGCTGAGACTGGGCAGCTCATGGTGTGAAGACCTTGTCGGGGTGCCTGTCTTCTGTGCCTTTCTCTCCCTCTCTCTCTCTTCTTTCTCCTTCTCTCACTCATAGAATAAATAATTAAAAAAAGAAGTCATAGCAGTCAGTGGTGTGACCCCTCGAAGTGGTTTAGATGGTAGTATAAATAAAAGAGGAATAAAATGGCATTTCTGCTCTTAAGTATGTTTTAGGAAAATAAAATAAAACCCTCTAGCACGAGGCGAGGTGCCAGCAGGTGAAACGCAGACCTGATTTCGCAATGGGAGCCCCAGCACTAACCTGTGACCTGGGGAGGAGGCCGTGTGGAAATCAGATAACCCTTATCGAATCGGGAGAGCTCGTCTCATGACTCAGGGAGTTTCCAATAAGGATTGTAGATACTGACGTCTGTGATTCATGGCCACGAACTTTCCCTCTGCTTTTCTTTTTCTAGTTTATTATTTCTTCTGTGAGGGTGAGAGAGAGAAAGAGAGTGAGTCACGGAGCGAGAGAGGCAGCCCCCCTCACAGTTTTGACGCCGTGATTCCACCCTGCCTCCTCTCGCTCGGGGTCATGGTGCCCAGTGTACTCGGAGGTGTCCGGACACGAGCCCAGAACCTCCCACGTCGGCCTCGCAGAGCGTGGAGTGGCACCGCTCCGTCAGCCCGGCTGTGCCTTAGTTCGGAAGTGCCTCTCTTCTCTTGCGGTCTGGTCTCTGGTGTGTGTGTCCCCTCAGCGTCCTGTGCAGAGGCCACGCCCACTCAGTGGCAGCGGGAACCTGCTGTCAGCATGGGCAGGCAGTGCCCTCGGCAGCCGTCTGCCCACTCTGGGTTTGTTCTGTTTGCTTTTTGCCACAGGCATCTGTATGGGAACTGATGGTTCTGCTGTTGGCATGGGCCCGGGGGACCCCAGGTGGGACCCGATGGTTCTGCTATTCGTGTGGGCCTGGGGGTCCCCGGGTGGGAACCAATGATTCTTTTGCGTGGGCCTGGGAGGCCTCTGGCAGGAACCAATGGTTCTGCTGTTGGCGTGGGCGTAGGGGACCCTGGGTGGGACCCGATGGTTCTGCTGTTCCTGTGGGCCAATGGGATCCTGGGCGGGACCCCATGGTTCTGCTGTTGGTGTGGGCCTGGAGGACCCCAGGCGACTGGACATCCCCTGGGCTGGACTCGGCCTGGCCAGGCCCACGGCTCCCTGATGGCCGCAGTCACCTTGTTCGGACCTCTGCGCCCATGGGAGAAGACGCTGGAGAAGGAAGCGGGTGCTCTGGGGAGGTCAGCTGAGGGTAATTTTGAGGGTGCAGTGACAGCAGTAAAAAGGCCTGGGGACGGGACGGTCTAGGACAGGGCAGTGACCTGTGGCCCGTGGTGTTCTTCCTCCCCTCGTACCCGGGTCCCCTCCACGGCACACCTCACCCTTCCTTCCTGAGAACCCCGCAGGGTCTGACCTTTCCAGAAAGGCCTGGGTGTCCCCCAGCCTTCGCTCATGCAGACTGTGCTGGGGAGTCCTTGCTCCTCGGGAAGGTCCTGAGGATCGAAGGTCTGGAAACCGGATTCCCACTAGGGTGGTGCTAAGGAAGACGACGAGTTACGAGTGCACCCCAGTGCTCTTTCCAGGGCGGCCCCTTCCTCGGGTGTGGCCCTCTCCCCGGTGGTCCGGGACGGGCCAGGAGGCGTGTTGCCGGTGTGTATGTGCGGTATCATCTGCCTCCCTCACATGCCTCCTCACCGCCCACCCTCTCCGACAGGGCAAACTCAGAGACCGCAGTGGCCTTTTCCTCTTGCCCTGGGGCAGGTGTCATGGAGTGGGGAGAGGCCGCGAGGAGCCACGTCGGTTGCCTGGTGGTTAGGGCGACTGGATTCCACATTGCCAACTGTGAGGTTCAAGTCCTAGAACCTGGGGCTTGAAAAACACACCTGGCGCGTGTGAGAGGGAGTGAGGGAGAGGGGACTCAGCATAACAGTTCGGGGGGGGATTTCTCACCCCATTCTCATCCCCATCTCTCCAGCTAGCACACGTGCCCTATAGCAAAAGAAAGAAAGAAAGAACCATTTTAGGAAAGGCCCATCACTAGTTAATTCATCTATTTATTTGTTTGGTTTGTCATTCTCTCCCCCCCCCCATTTTTTTAAGGTTTTTACCATAGGGCCCGTGTGCCGATTGAAGAGAGAGAGAAAGGGAAAGTGAGAAATGACTCCCGGGGGATGGCCACACTGTAGTCCCTTCTCCATTCTTTCAGGATTTGGGGCATGAACAACTCTGGCATGAGTTTCAAGCCACCAGGTCTGGGACTCCAACCGCAGTTGGCCATGTGGGAGTCCAGTGCCTTAACCACCGTGCCACCTGCTGGGCCCTCTTCGCCTTCCTTTCATCTTCGGAGGTCCTTGTTTCTGTCCCTAGGAGGGAAGCATCCTTTCTGGGAACCTGTACCTGCCAGGAAAATGGCTCTTCGGACCAGCACTTCCCAGAGCCTGCCTGTGCCGTGGGCACCTTTCCTTCCGTATTTCCTCTGCCCACCCCCGGGCTGGGCTTCGTGGATGAGGAAGGGCCCCCGTCTTTCTCTGAGCACCCGCTGATTCTCTCCAAGAGTCCCAAGCTGGCTGTGCTGACCTCTGACATCAGAGACGCCCTCATTGCCTGGCGCACTGTGAAACGCGGGGCTGGGTCTTCTGTGGGAGGGACGTGAGAGTTTCCAGTCGCTCAGGCCCAGGGTTTATCATGTCTAATGAGAGCTCCGATTCCCCTCCCTTCGCTGATTGTTAGCACTTTTCGGCATCTGATAAATGTTTCGTGTACCCGTGGAAAAGCTTTGGGGACAGAATCCGTTCTCCTGATTTATTGTTTTTGTCAGTTGCGTTCAGAAATGGGCTGACCTGGACTGCAGTTCTGCTGGACTCGGTCTCACTTCCCGAAGGGGGCCCCAGTGCGAGTGGTTGACAGTACTGAGGCCTGGCTTGTCACCTCGCATCCCAAACCTGTGATCTGACGCCGTCCGCTGCTGTGGCGATTTCAGTTTGCCCGTGGCTGCTGCATAAAAGAATTCAGACGGAAAGGCCTCCTGTGATGGCTTGTTCTTTGTGCTTTTCCTTCCTCGTTTGTCTCAGGTCTTGGCTGGGCTAAACGCAGGTGCCGGTCTTAGCGGGAGGCTGAACTAGTGGGGAGTCTCATGCCCAGAGGGGCCCAGTTGGTTCCTAAGGTTTGCAGGCTCAGGGTCCGTGACTGTAGTGGACCATCCTTTGCCAGCCCAAAAGCACCTAGCCCAACAACCAGTGTGAAGTGGAAGGCCAGAGGGCATGGTCTCGCGGCACAGCCTGCTGGCCTGCTTGCTTACAGCCCCACGGAGGACCGTGATGGGGGAAGTGGAGAGCAGGGGGTTCCCCTGAGGCTGAGGAGGGGGCACATGGGCTGGCCCTGCAGCCTGGTGGCTAAGGGAGCTGGGTCCCACATGGCTAACTGCACAGTTTGGATTCTAAGCCTGGAGGCTTGAAAAACACGCCAGGTGTATGTGCGCGTGTGCCTGTGGATGGTCCTGATAGGACAGTGACACAGAGGGGAAAGGATTGCGGTGCGACCGTGTCCCATCAGGGGGTGCTTTTTCTCCTTCTCTCTCTCTCAGTCTGTCTCTGATGAGCACATGTGTCCTCTGGCATAAAAATTTTAGAAAGGGACACGGAAGTGCCCTGGCCACCCGACCAAGGCACAGATTCACACAGAGGGGCCTTGGCTGACCGTGAGGACTTGGGGCGTGCTGGAAGCAGGGGGCCTGCCCCCACCCCCCACCCCCGAGCCTGCTCTCAGGTTGTGCTCTTTTTCTCTGGATACTTGGGACCTTTGTGAAAGTCTGTGGGCATCACCATAATGCCCTGAGGTCGAATCTGCCGTACTGGGTTTGGGAATGAGATTTAGCCTGAATTAAAGACAGTAATGGAGGATGACGGCCTGCAAGTGGGAGTCTGGGGTCAGATTCATTCTTGCTGTGATTATAATGGTGAGACTGGAAAGGACTTTTATGCCAAACAATGAAGAACAGCGTGGGTGAAGCATGGCATACCCATACTGTAACACATAGAAATAGGCTGATTCGTAAGGTCTGTCATGCGACAAATTCAGGCAATGATCATAGCCAGTATAATTTTATTCCACCTTTTTCTTAAATTACTTATTCAATTGTATTTATTCATTCATTTATTTTTAGTTTCATACACACACACACAGAAAGCAAGCCACCAGGTCTGGGACTCGAACCGTGGTCGGCCATGTGGGAGTCCAGCACCTTAACCACCATGCCACCTGCTGGTCCCCAATTTGATTCCACTTTAATAAACCAATAAGAATGTGTAAAGCGGTGGACTCCTACATGGCTGACCGCAGTTCTGATCCTGGACCTGCTGGCTTGACACTCACATTGGACATGAGTGTGTGTGTGCCCAAGAGGAGAATGGAGCATGACCCTATCCCCCAGGGGGTGATTTCTTACTTTCTCACTCTAGCTCTCTGGTGAGTACATGTACCCTATGGCAAAAACCTAAAAAAAACCCAAAAAACAAAAAACAAAACAAAATGAAGGAAGAGAAAAGAAAAAAAGAATGTGGATGTAACTTGTGCATTTTCATAAAAATATGGGTGGAAAGAGCCTGGGAATATATACATCAAAATATTATGCATAGTCTGTTACTGAGATTATAAGTGATGTCATGTTTTGTTGTCTGGACCTGCTGGGCTGAACACGTTTCTCTGAGTGGGGAAGGCTGTGGATTAGAAATACACCCTAACAGCAAACACACAAGACACACTAGTATAGAAAAGCGAGGATTGGGCGGGCCGGCCTCTCTGATGGAGAAACTGCGACCTGGAACTGGCCTCAGGGTTATTCTTTCAAAGGGCAGAAAATGGAGGAGGAGGAAATGGAAGGCAATGCCAGTTGCTTTAGGATGTAAATCATCTGAAGATGCAAAACTGGCGCCATGTGATTTCTCTGATCTGTTTGGGGCAAAATCTGATAAACTCATGTGACTTCCTTTAGCCTCAGAGTGCCCTGCAGTACTGGGTATCCAGTATCAACAACAGGTTAAGGAAGATAACTGGTAACAACAGGCAGATAGCGCTTTCGTATGTAAATGCTTTCATAGCCATTGCTAGAGTAGCTCATAGAAGCTGGTTCTGCGTGTCTTTGAAGGTCGTGTTTTCCCAGATTGCCGCTCTCCATATTTTATTCCTTTGTTTTTAAAACAAATGATATAATTTTATTTGTTATTATTACTTTTTAAATTTGACCAGAGACAGAGAAAGGGAAAGTGAGAAAGCAAGTCACCAGTTCTAGGACTCAAACTTCAGTCAGCCATGTAGGAGTCCAGCACCCTAGCCACCATGCCATCCGCCGGCCCCATGATTCTTATTCATTGTAGTGGGTCTTCTGAAAAGTCATGATGCATTTTTGCATAAAAAAAAATATAGAAAAAGTATGTCAGGGCCCTTCCGAGGACCCAATATTTGTCACTGACAAGCCGTATTACCGTATTGATCTGCGTACGAATGGAACTTGCTCTGTGGGAACGTGAGGCTTCAGTGTCCTCTCTCTGCGCAGGTGGTACTGCAGAAATACCAACAGAAGCAAGGCCGAGCAGCTGCTCCGGACTGAGGTGCGTGCTTGTCCTCGTGTGTGGTGAGTGGTTTCCAGCACAGGTCAGCTGGGATGAATCCCTCAGCGGCCCCACAGTTCTGTTCCTAAAACCTAAAAGACACTGTGATAGGAAATACAGGGTTTTTAAAAAATCCTTTCAAAGGGAGTGCTGGTGTGTTAGTTTCTGGGGCCCCAGCAATGAGGTGCCATGAACTGTGTGACTGAGACAGCAGGGGTCACTGCCACGTGGTCAGAGGCCAGGGCAGTGCACAGCAGAGGGCCCACAGGGGGAGCCCTTCCGAGGACGGCGAGGGGCCTCTCTTCGAGGTCTCTTTGCCCTGTAGGTGCCGTCTTCTCCCTGTTCTTGTGGTCTTCCCTGTGTGCGTGAGACTGTCTTCATGTCCAGATGTCTTTCTGTAAGGATGTCAGTCATACATATCAGGCCCACCCTAATGACCTCATTTGGACCAATGAACCTTTATAGTAATTACTAATTACATGTGTAGGCCCTGTTTCCAAATAAGGCCATATTGTAAACCTGGGGGCACACAGGGAAAGCCATGCAGCAGGTGTTGAAAGCTGTTCGTGGGTAACGTTTTCTCTCTTACCACTCACTTGCTACTTCGATTTTAGTATGTGTCGCGGTTCCTTGTTGCTCGTAGTGGTTTTGCAGTCATTTACATCAAAATTACACGATGTCGTGTATAAATTAGTTTTAGTAAATCATTTCATGTTTACGTCTCTTTAGAAGTAAACGTGCTGACACTGTCACGCTTTCAGAGGAGGGAGACAGCGCAGTGCAGAGGGGCTGCGGTGGGCCTGCCTCCAGCCCCCTCTGCACCTTGTCAGATGAGGACGTTCGCTTGGAGATGGTCTTGACAGCCCTCTGCATTCATGGCCTGGATATTTTATGACCTAGCTATTCTTTTTTTGGAAAGTTTGTTTCCTCAATAAGAGAGAGTTGCCCCTGAGAGGGTCTCACCGTGCCGCAGCGCCCCCTCCCAGCCCACCTGCTGTGCCTGCGGGTGCTTGGCATGGTCAGGGTGACCCAGGATCTGAACTCGGGGCTTTCCCCTTGGGCCCAGTATCATGCAGCGGCCCTGCTGCTCGCACCACCACGGCTGAGCCTGGCCAGTTGTCCCAGTTAGCGATAGCCCTCCGCTGCCACTCCCTGGCCTGTGAAATAAGGCAGACACCGCCATGCCTACTGTGCGGCACTGGTTAGACAATTAGATACACTCACATATTAGGATGTCGTAAAACACGAGTTCTCAAGTAAGTGGTATTTATTAAACTTTGTGCTGACTTTGTGCTAATTGTTGTCCCTAATGATCTTTATCAGATATCTTTGTGGGGTCTTACTCAATTTTATTGCCTTTCTTATGAATGAGAATGAAATTTAAAAATTTTCTTTTTCAGCTGTTAAACACACTTTTCATCTGCTAGCGCTGTAAGTGCTAGAGGTTGAAGATGGGGCCCTGGCCATGGAGGGGTTTGGTTTACACCCTCTGTTTCTTGCCTACAGCTTGGACCCCGATAAGGATTTCTCTCTAAGCTGTTCGGCGTTGTTTCCAAATTTTGATTTTCTCAGCTTAAAAAGTTATTTGCGCCTCATCTCTCCTTCTGTGAAGAGTGAGGTTGAGCATCGGCTTCCAGGGCAATCAGGGATGTTTAGATGTGTTCTAAAGAGCACTGAGATATTTACAGGAGAGATGCTGTGTGGCTAGAGAGCAGTATTGAGTCAGGGCTCAAAGCTCACAGCAACATGAAGAGTGTAGGAAATGAAGCCCACTCCTTAAGAAACACACCAAACACACACACGCACACGCACACACACGTCAGGACTCAAAGGAGTTGGCAACATCGTGTTTGTTTGTTCTGGGAGGGCCCTGAGAGATTAGTTGAGGCGTCTCCCACGGGTGTGTGAGCATTTGTACGAGGGGTTGCGAGTGCGTCCTGTCCCTGTCTCACGGCCCAGTGGTGGGACGGAGGAAGTCACACGGAGGGAGAGACCGAGGAGCTGTTGGAGACTGGCGTTTCTCCACCGCAGCTCTTGAAGGCAAAGGGGAGTACTCATGAGACTGTAAGACTGGGTTCTGGAACCTTCTGTGTGGCATGGAGGTGAGGAATGGGACTAAAACAATCGTCTCGACTTGGCTTTTAGGATAAAGAAGGTGGCTTTATGGTAAGGGACTCCAGCCAGCCCGGCTTGTACACAGTCTCTCTGTACACCAAGTTTGGAGGGTAAGTCACCCCGCTCTGTGTTGTTGTTTTGTGTTTGTTCATTTTTAAAGATTTATTTTTTTATCTATTTATTTGTTATCGTTTTCAACTCACTGGGTCCAGGACTCGACCCACAGTCGGGCATATGGGAATCCAGCACCTTAACTGTCTTGCCACCTGCTGGCCCATGTCACTGTTGTTAGAGTTTTTATATGATCCTTCTCTATTGTTTGTATGTACTCATAATTTTCAAAAAGTATACTGTATCTTCACATTAATAAGAGAACCTGAACTTGATTTTTAAAGTCATTATAAAATTTTAAGTTTATATACTCAATAATGACCCTATAGTTTTCCATCTATATATGTGTGTGTATTTCCATATATGTAATATATATTCTCAACCAATATGTAAATGTGTCCATGTATATTTGGACAGATATACAGATCTTTGCAGATAGAGAGATCTGGGAATATGGAAATATATGTATGTTTGTGTACGTGTGTTTCTGTATGTACTGTTGGGAGTGGCCGCAGGAACCTCAGTGACACTCACCTGGTAACTGTCGTGCTCGGGGTTGAGCACGGGGGACCTCAGTGAGTGAAGGAGGGCAGGCCCGGTCCTCCTGTAGTTCTAGGGCTGTGGACAAGCTGGCAGTCAGCCCCTGGAATGAGAGAGGACATGCTGTGAGAGGAAGGTGTGTGTGTGTGCATGCGTGCGAGTGTGTGTGCACACGTGTGCATGTGTGCGTGTGTGTATGTTCATGAGTGCGTGCACATGTGCATGTTCTCTGTGCACGTGTGTGCGTGCATGAGTGTGCATGTTCATGCATGTGTGCATGCACGCACACGTGTGTATGCACGCACATGTGTGCATGCACGCACATGTGTGCGTGTGTGCACATGTGTCTGTGTGTGAGGGGTGGGTGACTGGGTACAATAGCACAGGCACATCTCGAGTTAGCCCTGGGAGCTGTCCTCAGTGACAGCTGAGCACCAGGTCAGGACACAGTGGAGGGAGCAGGGGAGTGTTTCCGACCCAGAGGGGAGAGAGAAAATACCGTGAACTCAAGGGCCGGAAGCATGCCGGCGGCTGGATGTAACCCAGGAGAGGGAAGGCAGGAGATGGAAGCCTGTCCCCGCCTGGAGTCTGAGCTTCAGCCCAAGAGCAACAAGGCTCATCCTGAAAGGACTTTGAGCAAGAGGTGGTGAGAGCAGCTCTGTGTTCTAGCAAGACGCCCTAGTCGGCCGTGTGTGTCTCTGGTCACGCTTGCTCACCTGGAGTAAACGCCATTGTAAGACTTCCAACTGTTGGCGAGTGGAGTTAGGAACGTTCTGTTTCGAAGTCTCATGCGAGGGACCAAGTATGTTACCAGTGACAACTCCGAAAGCTCCCACCTGTCACAGTGAGAGGCAAAGCTAAGTTGTGCCAAGAAGTAGACAGGAGGGGTCGTGCAGAGGGACGGTGTGGTGACCCTGCAGGACACGTTCGGAGGGATGCTAGGTTGTTCCGACTTCTCTAACCGTGTTGGTTTCGTTTGTAGAGAGGGCTCGTCGGGGTTCAGGCATTACCACATAAAGGAAACGACAACATCTCCCAAGAAGTATTACCTGGCAGAAAAACATGCTTTCAGCTCGATTCCTGAGATTATTGAGTATCATAAGCACAATGCAGCCGGTGAGTGAGTGGGAAACCGTGAGGGCATGGTTAAAACGGTCAGACTCAGTGAGTCTTCCTTTAGTGATTTTATCTTATGCTCATCTAATTATGTGATGGGATTCATTTAAAGCAGTTGCATATTAAGAGGTGACAAATTACAAGGAAAAATTAGAAATACTATCAGGTGAAAAGCTTTGTCTTGGGGCCAACAAGTGTACTGATGGTTAAGGTGCTGAACTCCTCCCACGTGGCTGACCATGGTTTGAGTCCCAGACCTAGTGGCTTGGAAATCACACTGGTGCATGTGTGTTTGTGCCCAAAATCCTGAGAGGAGAATGGAGGAGCAGGGATTGCAGTGTGGCCATCCCCCTCAGGGGGTGATTTCTCACTTTGCCTCTCACTGTCTCTTTCTCCAGTGAGCACACATGCCCTATGGCAAAAACCTTAAAAAAGAAAAAGAAAATAAAAGCTTTGTCTTGACCTTAGGAAAGGAGTTGCTTGAATGGTGTGTGCTAAATGCCCACATTTCTGGGGTTCCAGTCGGTGTGTAACTTGGGGTGTGTGTATCTCCGAGTAGCCAGGGTCATTCCTGTGCTACTGGCTTCTAAAGACTAGAGTAATCTTGTCACAGAAGTTTCCACCTTCCCAAATCTCTGTTGCACTTAGCGCCTGAGTGGGAATAAGCCAAACACGGAAAATAAAAACAGGACGACACGTTTCTGCCTGTCGAGGTCACACGGGGTGACTTAGAAAGCTTTCTAGCCTGTGCCTTGCAGGATGTAACAACACATAGCAAGTGCCTAACCAAGTTTATGGGAGATTAACTTCTGAAATTTTACCAAAGGCACCCTGTGCAAAAGCCTGCTATTTTGTGACTCTGTTCCCTTTTTTAAGATAATGATAGGAACAGTTTATTGAGATCTAATTTACAGGGACCAGCAGTTAGCATAATGGCTATGTCGCTGAACTCCCCTGTAGTTGACTGTGGTTCGAGTCCCGGACCCAGTGGCTTAAACTCACATCGAGCCTGTGTGTGCCCAAGATCCCAAGAGGAGAATGGAGGAGAAGGGA